TTTATTCATTTGAGGTTTTTTTAAAAAATGCAAATTGAACTACAATAAAGTTTGATTATAATATAGTTAAAACTAATATATTTTAAATGAGCCTAAATACATGTATAGATTATCTGTAGTTAATGAGATATTCCCATTTAATAATTTTAAATCAAGTGGTGCAATAGTTATGGAAGTCACTGTATTTATCCTATTGGCTTTTTTTTTGGGAGGACAGACGCGAATTGATTTTTTTTTTTTTTTTTTTGGAAAACAATTTATTTTTTGAGACAGTCCAAGGTGACAAAAACGTGAAAGTTGTTGGTTTGGTTTGGGTCTCCTAAAGAAAATGTGTTAACAACTAACCAGAGGTACTTTTTTTTATTTGTATTGTCTTTTTTGGTTATTTTAAACATTTTAATTGGAAATCAAAACGTGGAGCAGATCTTGCTGGGTAATTACAAGATTTTCATTGATAATATTTTGCTTTTTGTGATCGTTAATATTATTAATAATATTATTATATAATTATAATCATAGGATGTCAAGACAATACATTGTTAAAAAAGAAACAATTTGAAATGCAATGTTTGATTATCGGAAAATAGCAGGCGTTGAAACATGCACGCTACCTTGAACACTTTACAGTCATTATCACATCTTCCTCGTGTACAAAAGGCTAATCTGACCACGGTGCTCCTGATGATATGATGATGCAACAGAACTTTCAGGGGGGAGGCCCAAGGCCCTGGAGTTTACCGAGACTGCACTAATCGTCAATGACGCTTTCACTAATCTTCCCACACAGCACCAGACCAGAGAAGGCTGTTGGCATGCTAGACAAAAAGTTGCCCACAACGATCCCACCTCTAGGGCAAGGATGGCACTGTGACCAAGTCGCAACTCTGCTGATGAATTGTAGTGCCATGTAAATATCCAGATCCATCAAAGCAACGAGAACCTGCAACTCGTTTCAAGCACAGGAGGTTGCAATTCAGAACAGGGTTGGTGGCCCTGAAATTGCATTTGGGCTCTGATGTCAAGAGGAAAGTTGTAAAATAGTGTTTGTTTTGAATAATCATTTTCATAAATTCTCCATTCTCTGATACAAACCAATTTATAATTTTGGGTAGGGGTTTTCCCAATCAGTTCTCTGTCCTGTAGGTTAAAATTATTGCATGATTATATACATTTTTGTCAGCAATATGGCCAACAAGAAAAAAGTCATAAAAATGGTTCGGATTTTGGTATGTTTTGTATAAGTTAATTTTCATAAATTTTCTGTTTCTCTTTAATTTTTGTTTGACCAACTGAATTTGTTTTTCGAATGGGGGTAGGGTTGTTGATGAGTAAGTATGCCACTGACCAGACAGCAACTCAAGACTCAAAACTCTGAATCCAGGAAAAACCAAAACAGCAACAACCCAGGTTGCAACCTTCCAAGTTGGAGAATTTTCAAACCAGTTGCAGGTGCCAACTTTATTCTAGTGAGAGAGGGGTATAACACACAGCAATCATCACCCAAATGTCAACTCTCATCAGCAAACAATGCTCATATGGAAACAGCCAGCCTGGTCTAAAGGGAAGATAAGGGAAAGTTTTGTCCAAAGCCTTCCAACTTGTTTGGATTACCTCACCTGTGGGAAAAAATTCTACAGTCATGAGGAGGTGTGAGAACACCTTATTCCATGTTGGTGATAGGAAATTTCAATTAAATCTGACCCCTGTGATCAACATCAGATTTATTATTTATTTTAAGGAACCATAATTGATAATCAGGAAAAATAATTTATTATTGTGAGCCAGAGATCTGAGTAGATACATATTGTTAAGAGTTTCATTTATGAATGGTCTTGGTATTATTACTACCTGGGTGATGCAATTGTTTGTTATGTCAATGATGATGTCAAATGTATTGCATAATAATCATGACCATCATGAATATTTGATGGATGAAGGCATTCACATACAAGGAAATGATTAAATAGCTAAGTCATGTTTGTTTTATTAAAGGTGTATAATTAATTATATTTAAAAAATTATTATTTTATTTCACATTTCAATAATCCTGAAATTGTTTGTTTCTTAGTTTTAATGATTGAATCAATCACACAAGTGATAGTCAGTTTAGATGGCTTTTTTAAAAAGGTTTAGTTGAATTATTAAATGTTTTTTTTATTAACACTATAATATAATGGTGTAAACGTTCAAATAATTATCACTTAATTATTTAAACAATGTTAACGAACAGGTAATTTAATTGTTGTTAAATTAAAAGTTATCTTTATTTAATTCGAATTTTAGATCTTTAAATAATAAAATTACAATTCTTAAAATATAAATATAGATCATGAAAGAAAATAAATAAAATATAATCTCTATATTGTATGGAAGCTTATAGACTTCCCGGAAAGTATTAATCTTAAGATAACATTCATAAATAAATATAATATAGTAAATATAATATAATAATAATAATAATTATACACCATCGCCAAAACTCCTAATAAAAATAACAATAATTCAAGGAAAATAATACTCGAAGAAAAACGCAATAATCCCGATTGCCAAATTAGTAATAGCGAATTTAAAAAATTAATTTCTCTACATTACCAAATATAGTATAGATTAATTGCCTAATTTCGACTAGAATTATTTTACCGATCGTAATCAAGATCAAGATTGTTACAAATGGCGTGAAAAAAATTTCTAATTCTGGAATAATTTTTTTTTTAATATAAAACTTTTTGAAAATCTTGCCGATTTTTTTCTTATTTGTGAAAGCCTTTTAAAACTCACTAACCAACTGTTGTTCCAAAAAGGAAATCTTTTTCAGGCTGTTTTTATTATATTTATTATTATATTTATATTTAATATCAAAATGGTCTTTGTTCCTTGGCTTTATTAAATTGATGTTTTTGGGAAGCACAAGAGCAAAATCAAAAGGTAAAACATTGTAGTGAACAATTTTTGCTGTGTTGACATCAAATATTAAAAACACTGATTTTTTTCTAATCCACACCATGAACTATTGATGTAATATTTTAACTAAATATCAGGCAATAATATAGAATTTTACACCAACCATTATAACACTTAAAATTAACTATATGTCAGAAAAGAAAAAATACCATTTTTGAAAAATTAACCCCTGACAATTGAAATATTACAAGTTTCAAACCCACACAGTGCAACTATGTTAGACATTTATTTTTTTTGTAAATGTAAGGGATGTTATAACCAATACAAAGGAAGCGAGCAACAGAAGCAAGACAATAAGGAGAGATTAAAACATATAGAGCAATATATTAAGGATAATGAAGCCAACCCGTCAGGACAGTGGGAAGAAATAGGCGAGGAATGAAAAAAAGAAGCGAAAGAAATAAGGGAAAAGTGAAATATTAAAGAGGAACAACCGAGAGAGAGCAGAATTACTCAACTAAAATCTGAAATTCTGCAATTAGAAAATATTGCCAATAAAACCAGCAACCAAGAACAAGAACTAAAAAATAAAAGGGAAGAATTAAAAGAACTAGAAAAGCAACAATCACAAGACCCCAAGAAAACTAACTGAACCCCTTGACTAATTGGAGGAGGAGTCATTTTAATCCTAGTGATGGTAGGGATAGTTGTTTATTTCCTAGGAAAAAATAAGATGGCAGAGTTTAAAAACTTATCAGATTTAACAACAAACCTTTCCCCCAAACAAGATTTTATTAGTTGCTTTGAAAAACTTCGTTGGAATGACAAAATAATCTCTCCTTTCGACCCTAACTCCAAGGTTTATAAATGTGCTAATAACCAGTATAGGTGTAAAAATACGGGTAAATACTTTAATGTTAAAACTGGAACGGCACTTGAAAACTCCAATATACCATTAAAGAAATGATTTGTAGCCCTATCTCTTTTTTCTTCTCATAAAAAGGGAATTTCTTCCTACCAGTTGGCTAGATATATCGGTATTACACAAAAATCAGCTTGGTTTGTCTTACATAGGCTACGCTGTGGGTTTTTTGTCCTATTTTTGAAACTGCATTGAAAAACAGTGTAGAAATAGACAAAACCTTTATCGGAGGGAAGAACAAGAATAGACATTGGGATAAAAAGGTTCCTCACTCCCAAGGTAGAAGTTGAAAGGACAAAGTCCCGGTATTAGGTATGTTAGAAAGAGGTGGAAATCTAATTACCCAAGTTGTTTCTAATACCCAACAAAACACTTTGGAAAAGATAATTATATCCAATGTCAAAAAAGGTTCAAATATTTATTCTGACGAATGATATAGACATAGTAATTTATCTAAAAACTTCAATCACCAAATAGTTAATCATAGTGCCAAAGAATATGTAAACGAAAAGGCTCATACTAACTCTGTTGAAAACTTCTGGTCTCATTTAAAAAGAGGTATTTATGGAACTTACCACTGGACAAGCAGAAAGCATTTGCATAGTTATATTGACGAGTTTACTTTGCATTATAATACTAGGAAGTATGAGGAGCGAGAGAGATTTAATTTAGTCCTTTCCTCAGTAGTAGGTAAGCATCTAACTTATCAACAATTAATTGCTTAAATCAGTAAAAATAAAACAATGGACAAGAAAATACCCTGTGATGCTTGTGGATTTTACCTTGACGAAGTTTATATGCACAAGAACGAAAATGGCAAAACATACTGCACTAGTTGCGAATTATTGATTAATAGCAATGAAGATTTAGATAAAATTGAACCAGTAAGCCAGGAAGACCTTGAAAAGAATTTAAAGACCTTATTAAACACCCCACCCTTAAAGTGAAAAGACCTCAAAGTCAAACTAAAAAAAGAACGAGAGGAAAAACGAAAATTCAGAGAGAAAAAGGGTTCTAAATAATTCTTTTATTTTTTTGGTGTAAAGTTCTATATTATTGCCTTAAATCATTATTTCCAATTATTTTTTTTGTAAACACTTGTCAATTATTTTGCTAAAAAAAATAAAAATGTGTACTCTTCCAAATAAACAATATAATGCTTTAAAAAAGTTATAGTTGAGCATGCGAAGCAT